TCTTTAGGAGATCGAGGTCTAATCCAACTTGAATTAACTGTAAAAACAACAATTCGATTGGAAGCATTTATCACAAAAATAAAATAGTCCCTCTTTTACAAATAGAAAAACACCAAATCCACTCCATTAACAAAGAAGCGGCAATCTACAGGATACAAAGCAGGAAACATAAATAATAATAATAATAATAATAATAATAATAATAATATGGATCCAAAAGTTCAAGTTCTTTGACAAACTGAGAATAACTTTGTCCATGTAACGCTAGTGATCATATGGGAGCTAGAAAAACAAACCATAGATTATCTCACTCTAGTATGTTCTGTACTTGCGTCAAATGAATATAAAAATCGTCACCATTTTTCATTTACTCATATTTTTGAGTACAATCCAACTACTTTTAGGAAATTTACAATCTTGGTTCGTTTGTTTTGTTTTGTTGTACGTCGTATCAACACCTCAATGGGTTATTTAATGCCGACAAAGTTTTAATTGCTGGTAATATGATTTTCATCAAAAATCTATTTCTGGGAAGAATTTTCCTTGAAGAAATCTATAGCAGGAGATATTTTTCTCAAAAAATGAATAGCTGTTTGTATTGCTGGTATTTTTTTTTTTAAATATTGCTGATAATAATTTTACCTTCAAAAATTATTGCCGGTAATATTTTTAGTATTTCTGATATTAAAACCTATTTTTACACAAGTTTGAATGTCAACTATTTGCCTTTTGCTGGGACCCTAACAGGTGCTGCCACCTCGGGTCAGGGTGGACCTGGAAACACAAGCAATTAAGAGGTGGTTCCACAGTCCTCAAAACCTCCTGATCATAGGCCTTGCTGTTGGACGTAGTTTATCGTCTTCCCCAGGACGCGGATGTAGTTTATCGTCATACGCAGGGCGACAAATAGGCCGGTATAATTGTCAAAAAAGCGAAAAGAAAAAAAAAACTGGACTACTAATTTATATTGCTGACCCAGCGGAGCGTAACAGCAACTAAGTAATTTAAAAAAACTATCGAAGTATAAAGAGGTGGAAATCGAAATAGGAAAAAAAATGAAGATATCGAAAATAAGAAGAGTACCAGTCATAGTCGGTGCGCTTGGAATGATAAAAAAGGAACACAACAACACATTGAAAAAAGTCCCTGGAAATCCCAGTTTAAGAGAAATATAAAAAAATGGCTTTATATGTACAGCCAACACATTGAAAATAACTTTGTCCATGTAACGCTAGTGATCATATGGGAGCTAGAAAAACAAATCATGAACTTTAACTGTAACAACACAACACTACCTGCCATAGGCATTCCTGTAAACTTGGTGGGTAGTGCCACCATAGCAAAAATCGAAATATAATAATAATATATATATATATATATATATATATATATATATATATATATATATATATATATATATATATGTGTGTGTGTGTGTGTGTGTGTGTGTGATGCATACGCGTACGTGTGTGTGTTTGTACAAAAATCACGAGTACAAAATGTCATGAAGCCATTTCTAACCTTAGGTCTCTGGTTGGGACCCTGAAGAAAATAAGTATACAACAAAAATGAAAGGAAATAATAATAATAATAATAATAATAACAACCGAGTATGGCTGGTGTCCATACCAATTTCAGTTTCCTTTCCATAAATTTGCATTCTTTTTCAACATCTACATTGGAAAATACGCAACATGAACACCACCCAGACACAGTTGCAGACATTGGAACTTTACAATACTGTCAGACAAAATAATCAAAGCTAATCACCCAGAAGAAGTAATCAAAGACCGCAAAAACAGAATGCGCTTTCTTACTGGCATCGCAGTCCCTGCAGGATTGTTATGTATCATTGAAGAACTTTAGAAAAACTATCAAAGTATGAAATCTCAACAAATGTGGCACGTGAAGGTATCAACAATTCTATTTGCAGTTGACGCTCTCGGATTGATTGGAAAAGGTTCCAACAGACTCATTGAAGGGTTTCCTAATATCCCAAGCCTTAAAGAAATACAAAAAAAAAGTGTGCTCACAAATACAGCTCAAATATTACGAAAAGCTTTATCTGTGCAAAATCTGTGGGATTTTAAGATTTTGTCTTGGTTTTCTTTTCCTTTTTTTTTTAAATGAATAGTGGTAAACTTTATGATGCCATTTCTGACCTTAGGTCTCTAGTTGGGACCCAGAAAGTAATAAATATACACCAGAAATTAAAAGAAATAATAATAATAATAATAATAATAATGATAATAATAATAATAATAATAATGATGATAATAATAATAATGATGATGATAATAATAATAATAATATTAATAATAATAATGATGATAATAATGATAATAATGATGATGATAATAATAATAATGATGATGATAATAATGATAATAATAATAATAATATCGATAATAATAATAATGATGATGATAATAATGATAATAACAATATTAATAATAATAATAATGATGATAATAATAATGATGATGATAATAATGATAATAATATTAATAATAATAATGATGATGATAATAATAATGATGATGAAGATAATGATAATAACAATATTAATAATAATAATAATAATGATAATAATATTAATGATGATGCTAATAATGATAATAATAATATTAATAATAATAATAATGATGATAATAATAATAATGATGGTGATAATAATGATAATAATAATATTAATATAAATAATGATAATAATAATATTAATAATAATAATAATAATGATAATAATAATAATGATGGTGATAATAATGATAATAATAATATTAATATAAATAATGATAATAATAATAATGATGATGATAATAATGATAATAATAATATTAATAATAATAATAATGATGATAATAATAATGATGATGATATTAATGATAATAATAATATTAATAATAATAATAATGATGATAATAATAATAATGATGATAATAATAATAATAATAATAATAATAATAATTGAAGCAAATAGGCCGGACATTATTGTCAAAAACCAGAAAGAAAAAACTTGCCTACTAATTGATATGGCTTGTCCAGCGGATTGTAACATAGCAACCAAGGAATTTGAAAAAACTATCAAAATACAAAGACCTGGAAATTGAAATAGAAAAAAAATGTGGAAATTGAAAACAAGAATAATACCAGTGGTAATAGGTGCACTTGGAATTATAAAAAATGGAACAAAACAACACATTGAAAGAATCCCTGGAAACCCCAGCTTAAGAGACATACAGAAAATTGTCTTATTAAGTACAGCACACACACTAAGGAGAACTTTGTCTATGTAACGCTAGCAACTTCACCGAAATGTGGCCATAACAACACACCACGACCTGCCTTAGGTCTTTCCGCAGACTTGGTAGGTAGTGTGTCCATAGCAGAAATCGAATGATGATGATGATAATGATAATAATAATAATAATAATAATAATTGAAACAAATTTACGTAACTTTTTCAATATTTTTCATAACTAAGAAAATGGCGCGAGAAAAAAGCACATGGTTTAAAAATACCCCGACATTATGTCAGTCTTCTTCAAGTTATGTTTAAAAATGGCATAAAAGTATTAAAAGTATAAAACATTACAAGTTTTTGTACAAACGTTGTAATCAACTTAACCAAACGAATTAAACGCAACCATGAAATGCAACTAAAGCGTGAGTCACTTGACTGCGAACGTGCTCATCTTGAAATAGCCCATTAGCTGATTAGTTACAAAGATCAATTAATCAAGCAATTTAGTATGAATGTTATGTAACTCTCTTGTCATTTTGCTCATTCCACTGGGCCGGGTCTTTAGCACTTTGCATATATAATTATTGTTATGCCTTTTAAGGACCGAATGGTCGGTGGATTTCGGATATTTTTGCAAAATGCGCACCTTAATATTTTTATCAACCTTACAATCGTTTGTGTGAAATTGTTCGTAAGCGCAATGAAAGAAACAATGCTGTTTTTTTTAGACAGTAAGGAAGGGACATTAAATCCATTTAGGCAAAGAACTGATAGCATTGCTTGAGGAAAGACAAGACAAAAAGCTAACTGCTAACCAAATACCTGAATAGCAATTCTGCCCAGGAGAACATCGCCCAACAAATGCATTCAAATAAGTGCAGGGGTGTGACAAGGAATTAGAAAATGGTCAGCCGCATCATTAGCATATGTGGAAGGCTTAGGGTGAACAATCCAAGGAAGGTAATCGAAAACGATTAAGTGATGATCTTGTGCTATTTCAGTGTACGTACAAACTACATGATTTCTAAAAAGAACTCACGCCATTTACAAAGGGACAAGGAATTGTCGCCTCTTTGGTGCGGCTATTTATTCTAATGTCAAAGGAATTGAAACTTTCAAGATGCCAACCATCAGAGAGAATTTACCAAATGAAGAAGTTTTAGGCTACCGTTTTTGCAATTCTCGTTGCAGGGCGCCCTGGGTAAGACGTTTAACGACATTCGACAGTTAGGCCTTGGATCAGGAGGTTTTGAGGAGCATAGGGCCACATCTTAATTGCCGGTGCCCCCAGGTTTATCCTGATCCGGTGCGGTAGCACATGTCAGGATCCCACCTATGGACAAATATTTAACCCTCCTCAGAAAAAAAAGCGTCAAAACACTATGAAATTATAAAAAATGGTTTTGATACCAGCAATACTTTTTTAGAGAAATTATTACATTCTTGAAAAAAGAAATATTAGCAGCAATACGTTTTTGAAAAAAATTACCAGCAACAATTTTTTTAAAAAATTACTAGAAATATATTTTTGTAAAAAATATAACCAGCAATACATTTAAAAAAAAAAAAACACCATCAATAAATTTTTGAAAAAATTACTAGAAATACTTTTTTGGAAAAAATATTACCAGCAACACATTTTTGAAAAAAGAAAGAAAATGTTACCAACAATAAGTTTTGAAAAAAATATTACCAGCAATAAAAAATATTGTCTGCCTTAAATAACGCATTAAGGTTGATATGCCGTAAAACAAACCAAACCAATATATATTGAAATAGATAGATAGATAGATAGATAGATAGATAGATAGATAGATAGATAGATAGATAAAAAATATTAGCACTGATAAAATGTCTTGTCGGCATTCAATAACCCATTGAGGTTGATATGCCGTAAAACAAAACAAACTAAATCAAACTAAATCAAGAAAATATGAATAAAGCTTCGTAAATCCTTTTCTTCAGATGTCTTCGTTACTTGGCCTTGCAAATATTCTGAGAAAGTCCATTTATGTTTGTCTTCGTGCAGGATAGATACCACCTATAATTGAAGATGCTTTTTAAAATCATAACTACATAATACTGTTAGAAAAAATAGGAATATTTCTCTTCTTCGTGACTATTTCTGATGACCTTAAAATATAAAGTCTCAAAACAATTGAAGGTAGCGCATGTGGAAATATTAGGGTAAGTTGATCTTTTACTTTTTCTTTACAAGATCAACATTGCACCCGTTGTGAAAGTTGTGGTTTGTACTGACATAAAAATTAGATTCCTAGTTTTCCCCAATATTCGAACATTCAGTAAAAATGTACATGAATACCTAATTTCTACTTAAAAACTGATCACAAAATTTTACAACTTTTGTATTAGATAAATTCAATGGAAACTATATTAAAACCAGAATTCAACTTATGGGACACCGCAAGCAAAATATTTAATTTCTTTCTGAATTCGATAAGTAAAAAATGTAAAAAAATTAGAAACATTACAAGAAAAGATACTAAAAGAATACGATTTGTTACATTATTTGTTAGATCAATTTTTTAAATCATAATTAATAAAAGACAAAAAATAGATTAAAGTGTATATAGCATCATACTGGTGGGTACAAATTATAAGACAAAATGTTTTAAATTTGCATTATTTATTGAAAATCACACTAAAAATACTGCGCTGTATAAAATTACGTCATAATATAATTAAATTGTTTAGTATAATTTCCGTTTGAAATCAATGAAGTTTTTGTTTGATGTCACAGTTTAGTAATATTGTGATTGTGCCATGCATCTTGAGCATTTACAAGTTATAAAGTGTCAGTAAATTGTAGATTTTATAAGGCTGTACTATAAGGTTTTCACTGATCATCGAAATGAAATTTCAACGCTACGATTTTGAACCTAAACGTAATCTTTAAACTCATATCCTCAAAAACGGTAACGATTTGGAAAAAAATATTTTCTGTTGTTATTTATCATGCGAAACCACTAAAAATCGATTCCAAGTGAACCTTTATGCCACACTTGTATTGATTATCATTGGATCGTTGGAGGCTGTACCACAGAACTTAAAGTCCTGCGTTGAGAAAATCGGAGTAAGAATTTAATATCCCAACGCTTCCGAAGTTGTCGTTGATTAGTACTGCAAATATTCCGTGAAAGCTGCTCTCTTTCTGAAAAGTTAATGGAGGGAAACCATGCTAGTGGATCACTGTTTAAATTACAAAACATATTTTCTTATTTTTTAAACATTACACCCCAAGCAAGGCGGGAGTGTCACTAGAACGCAAGGGGTTACTGAGAAAGTAAGAATAAAGAGGGTTGTTTGAGGAAACAATAGAGGGAAGGACGGGGATCAAGTTCGAGGTATCAGAAGATGTTGATTGACATTAGATATAAATCTTTGAAGATTATAGTTATCAGGGAAGCAAGTAAGAGGAAGGGAGTTCCACTGTTGGGAAGTGTGAAAGAAGAAGCTGTTGGAGTAGAAAGAGGCGTTTATATTTAACTGTTTTAACAGTAAAAGTGTAGGAACGAGATGCCAAAGGAGCAGCACGCTTAAATTTATGTACTTGGGGCACCAGTAAAAAAAAGCTTGTCAGAGCAATTGCCATGAAAATATTTGTAGAAAAGACAGAGGGAGCCATATCACATCTGTGAGAAAGTGACTGGAATCGAGATGCCAGGTCAGGACCAAACACATTGCATATCCTTTGGATTTTGTTGGAACCTCGAGATGAACAGCAGGTGCGCGAGACTATAATCCCATTTTATGGGAAGCATCTGCACAAAACTACTACGAAAACAGATTTAAAATTCAACTCCATTTAATTTTAGATTGAATAAAACATTACACAAATGCGATATTGCAACATGCCAAGTATTTTCCAAGCGATATAAAACTGTCTGTATGTAAAGACTTATTGTGGCGAATACGCTTCCCAAACCTGTAATATTAGTACATTCTAACATCTAAAAATTTAACTAAGTAATCTTAACGAATGAATATCTGAGAATGACGAAAATATTTACGAATCTACAAAATCTGAAAATTTCAATATTAATAGACTTAACTAAACAATTAATTTCAGTTTTCTATCTTTTATTTGTTTTAAACTTTTGAATAATTTGTTTTTATCTTTTCTCATGAATTTATTAAAAAATATATAATACGCGTTATACAGCATAAACTATTATTTTGTTTGAGATGATTTCCTTATTGGCTCTCGTAGATAGAAAACAAAAGCAGGATCAGGAATAGATTCTGGCGTTGAAAGGTAATTTATAATATTAGGTACGTATGCATATGCCTATAACTAGGTACGAAAAATTATTGATTTAATTGAAAGGAATTAGAAAAAAATCAAATTAATTCTTGACGTAATGAAGTTTTCTATTTCAAATTAAAATATAAACCAAAGAAAAGAAGAAAAGATCTGCTAGAAACGATAAGAAGCAGAAGAATGGGAAGCTGTTAAGTGGAAATTTGATCAAATCCTACGAAGAAAAAGAGGACGGCGAGAAGAAAGTCTTGATCTTACACACGAAGGAAATGAGAATGATTGGAAATAGTGGCGTGAAAAAAAAATGAAACTGCGCAGACGCGAAGCGGAAAAAGGAAGAGGAAGTAGGATAAAAGGAAACGGAAGCAGGAAAAAAACTATTAAAAAGAAGATGAGAAAGAAAGTGTGAAAAGAAAAATAAAGAACATGACAAAAATAAAGAAAGTAAAAAGGATGTACTTCAGAAAAAGGCAAGATATGAAATCGTGATAACATCAAGGACAAATACTGAACATAAACATCTTCAAGGTTACATCAGAATGAAATTATATATATATATATATATATATATATATATATATATATATATATATAATGAATATATGAATGAAATATATGTATGCACACACGTATGCATATATTTAAATATATAGATATGAATATATAAATATATACACACACATTATATATATATATATATATATATATATATATATATGTGTGTGTGTGTGTGTGTGTGTGTGTGTGTGTGTGTGTGTGTGTGTGTAGACTCCCCCGTCGAATTCGACGTATGAGGGTCAAGCAGATCAGTTCCTAGGAAACCGACAGCCCGACAACAGTACATGAGATTTGATTATAGTGGTGAAGGTTTCGCGCAGGACCAGACACACATTTTTAAGGGCCGAATTTAGAGACCTGGTGTAGTAAGTGCCACAAGGTCCCCAAACGACCCTCAGCAGGTTTTTGATTCAGAGTTGTCCTTCCCTAGACCAGTTTCCATCCAAGGCTATAGATCCCAGTCTGTCCCGCTATTTTACCCATAGCTGGAGGGAGAAGAAGACGATTCACACCTTTCCCAAGGGTATTAGCACGTAAGCGAATGTAATGGATTCTACTTCATTTCTAAGACCATTCCTCAATCCAAGCTGCTATCCATTACTCCACCGTGCCTCCTATATATATATATATATATATATATATATATATATATATATATATAGCGAGAGAGAGAGAGAGGGGGAGAGAGAGACAGAGAGAGACAGCATATATTCATTGAGCATTTTGTGTCTACTTACTTTTCAACTGACCCTTTCCAGGTGTCTAATCAGCATCTTACTGTTAAGATGAAATTCATCAAAGGAAGGTGTCGTAGTTTTTTTTTATAATCCCAGCTAGTTTCGATCTTTTCTAAGATCATCTTTAGTGGTAAATTACTAAGACAAAGCTATCTTATCTCTGATAAAATTAAAAAGCAAGTACATATGTTGTCTTGACTACAACATTATCAAAACTACTTACACTTCATTTGTTGGGTACAAGATCTACTGAACAACATCTAATAAACATTCCTGTCCACCTTCACAATATAGGAAAATACTTTTTGACAACTGAAATATATTACACAATGAAAATAATGAACAAAAATTTCAAATACTCGAGGCTCACTATATCAAAAACAACCAACCAATATTCAACAATTTGTTTACGAATGTGGCAACACCGTTTTGAAGTGCATAAAACGTTTGACGCCATTTTACAGTTCTACGAATTTCCGGTCACCATAGCTACAGCGGATAAATTCAAAATAAACGCGTTCGCGGGTGTTTTTTAAATCATCATCACAACGGAACGCAGATTTTTGTCGCAGATACAATAAGCTTGTCTCTTTAATTTATTCCTGAATATGATTTTAAAAAAAAAATATTAAAAGTACACAGGTTAAAAAAAAAAAAAAAAACTATGGCGTCTTCCTAAATGAATTTCATCTGAACACCAAGAAACTAATTAGACAAATGAAAAGGATTAATTTAAAAATAGACACAAACATTCGATATATTTCAATAACTCTGGGGCTTAGTTCGTTTATATATGATGTCATTTGTTTACGTTAAAATACACTTCGAGCAGATATCAGCGTTCCAGAGAAATTATAGGAAGTTTGTTGTTTAAAAACAGATATTTGACTTTGCTAGCCAGACTCTTCCTCTGGAGCTAAATGTTATAGAACGCCAGGCTATATGACGGTTCCGTATAGGATGCAGGTTCGCTTCCTGTCGGAAAGCACACATATTCTATGAAATTTCTCGGACATTCATACCGGCAAATTGTAGCTAATACTGTTTATTGTAAACGGAGAATTTACTTAAATATTTATATCTACAAAAATAAAATACAAGCAGAAAATATATTAAAACAATTCTCGGACTTAGTCCATATATATATCCAGGAATCAATGTTTTTACGATAAATTTTTTATTAATCAACTCAAGTTTGGAATATTTTGAAGATATATCTATGTCAATATAAATATAAGTAAATTTCAGCGTCTTTGTTTTTATTACAATTTTTTACAATAACTTATTTCTATATATGCGGTTTACTTATACGGCACGTGTATTGTCACACATATTCTGCGTATAATAATTCAGTTACTGGTTTTCATTTACTTAATTTCAGATATAAAATCATTGCCATGAATTGTAAGGAAGTCATAACCTGAGTAACGAAAAGAAAGATATTCAAAATTAATTGAATGATGGAAAGCCGGCGTTGAAAATTACGAAAACTTAGAACAATTAACAAAGTAATTAAACACACTACCAAGATAGGAATAAGAAAAGGCTCGAACGACAGCAAAAGAGTTTCAAGAAAATAAATGTTAGAGAAAATTGAAAGTGGATTGGCGAAAAAGAAAAACATTTGAAAAAGTTGGTGTTGCGAATGCAAACATGTGGAAAAGATGCAACGACTTAAGAATAATGATTGATGGCGTAAATGCAAGTGTACTAATGCGTTAAAGCAAAGAGAAATATGTAAGTTCGTTTAAAAAGTATATGGAAACTAATTTCTCAACAGTAATTCGTAATGATTATTCTAGTTACACGGGATAAACCTGATAGCCATGCGAGACGTTTCCTCAATCATGGAAAGCAGTCAATCAAAATGACCACAATGAAAACAATGGTAGATGAAATAAATTAAGTGGTTTAACTTGCGTACAAAATGAATTCCCTTCAAGATTGATGGAGTTGTCAAGATAAATACAGAAAATTATTCTAAGTTCGTTAAAAAAAATTGCGAGTTTTACTTGTCACAATTATGTGGTTAACTCTACTTACTTTCTTGAAACCGCAGCTAGGGGACGCTCTCCGTCACTATAATTACTCTGCGATAATTTTTCGCAGACTCTTCTTACTTTTTCCGCTTACAGGTCATCATGTAAGTATCTCACGGGAAAACGTGTTTCCCATTAGGAAATGCATGAACAAAACACAAACATACACAACACAGGTACGTACGCACATTCACTCCACATCCTTAGAACCATTTCGCATTTTTTTTGTTACACATATCATTGTCTTTGTCACTTGCATATCTTTCTTGTTAATATATTGTCATTTATGGTTCTCAACACATTCAAAAACCTCCAATATCCTTATCAGTTCATCCACAACACAAAGCGAATGTCACATAAAATAAACACCCACAACAAATATAACAATATTATCCCCAAATATAAACTAAACAGGAACATATATAATATTACCAACGCCATAATATCCACTATCTTATTCCATCTAAATAACATACAAAACCAATTCCAAAACCAATGTGGATATGATCAGAACTAAAGACACGCATAACAATAATAATTTAGAATCAGGAATATATAAAATAAATTTCCCAATCTTTTTCTCACAATACATTGAGAAAACATATGAAAAGTATCTATAAACAAAAAGAAAAGACCTTATACTTAATAATTTCTCAAATGCACTAGTCATACACAGAAATAAATTCGACCAAATAAATTGGGTGTAAAAAATGCCACACTCATCAAAAAAGAAATTAATTTACTCAGAAAGAAAATTCTCGAGAGTGCCACTATCAAATCATATCAAAATATAATTCTACAACCTGGTCTTTATCCAATCTCAACTTCCCTGAAAGAAATTCTACTTTTGCAAGCCAACATACATGTCTACCAATATGCTGCAAAATCGAAAGAAATGGTTAAATCTATCACCTCATGTTTTTGAAGATATACAGAACATATGTCAGTTTCATACCTGAACAATCTCAGCACAATCTAAACAATATTCATTTAAAAATAATAAAATACATTTAATATTACTCACTTACGTTTTGCCAGACTTTATTATGATACTTTGTGTCCTCCACATATTTTGATTGACATTTCAACCACCTGATAAAAATTCATGAACGTTCTCATTTAGAAGACTTGATAAACCAATGAGATTCTCGCTTTTGTATAGAATCCCGAAAAAATAAATCCCCATTGCCTTAATAAAGATAAAACGCTTCGGCTAAACATAATTAAATCCTCTTGGCTCTTTTGTTTCATCTTGTTTCTCTACATGTACACTCTATCTGAATAATATATATATATATATATATATTAGGATATTACAACAACACATGTAAGAATAAGCTCTCTTTTTATCTAGAATGTGCCCTCTTTTAAATTAAAATTTACGAACGTTGGAAGTGTACGTATAGCCCTCTATATAAGGAACATACAAGCGACACTAAATAAGGTTAATTATGACTATAGAAACAATGTTTTAAAATGTCTATAATATCAATACATAATTATAAAAATTACAATTAAATAAACTTAAGTTGCTTCCCTTTGATAAAAAGAAAACATGGAAAAAATAATAGCTTTCATATTAACAAAGTGCGTTCATACGTGTTTGAAATAATTACAAAAGAAGACGTTTCAGGCGTATTTGGATTGTCTAGAATAAATTCAAGTAAAAAACAATTACTATTCTTAAAAGAGTGCTCAATATTCAATACAGAGTAGAGCAGATATAATTATTTATTTAAAAATTATAACATAAATATGTTACACAATCACTACAAAAATAGCCATTTTGTTTCAACACCTCCGGTGTCTTATCTAGTGATGGTTGAAGCAAAATGGCTATTTTTGTAGTGATTTTATAACGTATTTATGTTATAATTTTTAAATAAATAATTATATATATATATATATATATATATATATATATATATATATACCAATTAGTATTTAGTAGGGATAAATTCCCTAAATCTTTTTTTTAAATTCTATGTTAATTTTTTTTATCTTACTTTCTTTCACTTTTATTATAATTTTTTTCCTTATCTTTTTTCTTTCTTTTTTCCTCTCTATTTTCCTTTTGTCTGGACGAATTGATTTCGTTTCTAAAAAAAACTTTCTGTCTGAAGA